GTCATGTTTTTTCCTGGGAATAATATTTCTAAAGGAGCTGTTGACATGAAATTGAAGAAGATTTTGATAAAAACCCAAACAATACAAACCTAAAAATAAAACAATTTTTTTTTTTTTGTTGGAATAACACAAGGCGAAAGTGCTGAACTGTGTTTAATATTGATGTGTTTAATTCTTTATATAAAAACGCTTTTTAGTGTCGCAGCTTAAAGACGTCTCATGCATCTCTCAGATGTGTTTCTCACAGACTTCAACAGAGTGTCAGAATCTTGAAGCTTCTGAGGGTCTCATTTACTAAATCTGAGCTTTATTCTGTATTCTCTATTGGATTCGGTTCAGGTGATTGGTTGGGCCATTCTACAGCTTGATTTTCGTTTTCTCAAAGCATTCGAGAGTCTCCTTGGCTGTATTTTAGATCATTGTCTTGCTGAAATGTCCACCCTGGTTTCATCTTCATCCTCCTACTAATGTAGATGTAGCAGCTGATATTCGTTTACACTGAGGAAGGGCAGAGGGCTGAAGAACTACCCCGAGATTTCAGCTGCTGCCTGGGCTTTCACTGCCTTTCTACACCTCCCCTTCTTCATGTGTTCAACACTTTTTCTCTGCGTCATTTCATTTAGGTACTAATTCTATTTGTATCTAAATGAAATGTGTAATTTATTTATTAGTAATTATATTTGTTTTCTGCATATATGGATTTGTTTGGCCGTCACCAACATCTGGTGAACATTTCAAGTCAACAGCACCTTTAGAAATATGTTTTCTGAGTAAAATGGTGATGTGTCCAATACTAATTTTCCCCGCTGTATGGTGATTTCTTGCTATATCTTTCCTTGACCTTTCAATCCGCGAGCGCCTTTTCTGCATCCAGAAGAAAACAAGGGATTATTTTGAAGCGTTTTAGGCACAACACAAAAATAGAGAATATCAGAGACATTGAAGGTTAAGGATGGCAGTCACGTAACAAATTCTGAACTCACCTCTGGAGATGAGCTAAATCTGTCCTGACAATAAAGGGCCATGTTTTCCCCCCTAAACAATGTTTTCTTTGAGAGCGGCGACCAATCATTTTCATTAAGTCGACTGCCGGAGACACAAACTAGGGTTGCTCCTCAACACGGACTGCCATTTCTGCATCACTGATCTTTTTATTTTATTTTCCATGTTATCCTCTCTCAGTTTCTCTCTCTCTCTCCTTCTCTCTCTTCCACGTGTTTAAACTTTTAAGCAGGCTTATGCAAGAAAACCTCTGGGAACAGCACGGAGCGTTCTCTGTAACTTTCTTGTCTGGCTATTTGGCTTCTTATTCTCTTTGATGCAGAAGCCTCGATTCAGAGATCTTCTAGGTTCACATCTGTCCCCCCTTTTAAACAGCTTTTGAGTTATGGGAGCGGGAGGGTGGCCCAGAGAGACAGAGACCCCCTACTTTTTGTCTGAACCGCTTGATAAGTGGCCCAAAACTCTCTGAAATCAGCAAACACAAGCAAACAACTTTTGGCTTATGTGCGATTATGTTATATAAATATATTTGGTGACATTTACTGTACTTGAAGGGGGTGTTCATAACACCCGATTCACACGGGGCTTCAGCGTCAACGCTTGACAGAGGACGTGTCTGAAGTTGGGGCTGACGTGATCGTCATTGCAGCATCAGTCAATAAAATTAGTCAGTAATTGGCTACTGTCTGAGCGGGTGTATTTGCATACAGCAATCTGATTGGCTGACGCATCCATCTGCTCTTGAAATGTTGTGTAACACCTTCTGCAGCGAGCAACGCCTCTGAAGCGGCACCAACAGATCCACAGTGCAGTTTAGCAACGCCTGACGTCACCTATTCAAAGTGAATGGAAAGTGTTGACGCCGATGCCCCGTCTAAATGGAGTGTATGACTATCATGAAGCCGTTATAATCATGGATTGACATGTTTTTATGCATGCTTTTGACAGCACTCATAAGGTATCATTCGTTCGGTTATGTCATTTTAAATGCAAAGCTGACATTGTTTGAGATTTCTGTGATATTTCTGAATTATTGTCATAAATCCGTCATAAACATGATTGTCATGAGCAGGGTGTTAATTGTACATTGATGATTGGGGGCAAATATTTCATTAATGTTAGTTTGGGCAGTACATGCTGCAGTGAGTCACATATATGTATTTATTTAAATTACAGATTATTTATTAATAAAACATTTACGTTTTCAGTGTTTTGTGGGATGTTTAGTGTATTCTGACCTACAGTATCTTCTGATTAGCTATTTCAGAGGTTACTGTAGGTCAAACTAAATAAACTACGTATCTATTTTAACTTTACTTTTAAACTATATGATCTATTTTAACGATCTAAGGGCATTAAGAGCATGTCTGAATCCACTTTTGCCATTTTAAGGATGGAAATATCCGCTCTGCGCCCCAGCGCATGGTCTAACAGGGCTGTGTTTATTCTCTTAATGAGTTCTGGGTGTGTTTTGAGCATAACCAGCATGGTTTTGGCACATTTGCTATTTACATGGTGGACTCTGTAACGCCCCATTCACACGGAGTGTCAGCGACAACGCTTCCCCTTCACTTTAAATGGGTGACGTCAGGCGTTGCCGAACTGCATTGTGGATCCGTCGGCGCCGCTTCAGAGGTGTTGCTCGCTGCAGAAGTTGGGACCGGCTCAACTTTTCAAGCGCCGACGGAAGCGTCAGCCAATCAGATCGCTGTATGCAAATACACCAGCTAGACAGTGGCCTGTTTCTGACTGAATTTCATTGGCTGACGCTTCTATGACGATCGATTCAGCCCCAACTTCAGACACGCCTTCCGTCAAGCATCGACGCTGAAGCCCCGTGTGAATGGGGCGTAAGAGTAAAAACTGAATGCTTCACTAGCGACAACAAAGTTAAACAGAGCCTCTGCAGTGCGAGGATAAAGAACCAGCCTCCTCCTTTCAGCCTCTTTACATTCTCTTTACTTTTACTTTTTACTCCTTTACTTTGTTGGAGTGAGGAAAGGGTGGAAGCTAGCCCACATGTTTGATTTCCTTTGTTAAACTCAAAGATTTGCTTCAAAACTATGTCTAAATTCAGTTCTAATCTCCAGCAAAGAAGTAAATGAACCATAATAAGGAAGTGTGGGTAGAAGTTACATCCAAACACACGTCCTGGTCTTATGCCTCATATGGTGATCCAGAAATCTCCAAAAGCTGAAGAAATCTACACTTGTTTTTATTAAAGCAAATATTAATCTGCATACAATAAATAATACTGCTAATAATATTAACAACAGGTGCAGATCGTCATGAATAAACTGATCAACCCCCCAAGGTGAAGAAGGTATGGAGGCAGTGGTGTATATATCACTCTGCTGCTCATTCGTTTGCACTGGCTGCCAGTTGCTGCTCGCATCAAATTCAAAGCTCTGATGTTTGCCTACAATGCGACTTCTGGCTTTGCTCCTTCTTATCTGCTCTCACTTCTGCAGATCTATGTGCCCTCCAGAAACTTGCGTTCTGTGAATGAACGTCGCCTCGTGGTTCCATCCCAAAGAGGGAAGAATTCACTTTCCCGAACGCTGGCGTTAAATCTGCACAGTTGGTGGAATGAACTCCCTAACTGCATCAGAACGGCAGTCACTCGCTGTTTTCAAGAAACGACTACAAACTCAACTATTTAGTCTCCACTTCACTTCCTAATCTGCAATTGTCTCTCTGGATATACCACTAACTGTACTCAAAAAAATAATAATTACTAATGCTTTCCTTCTTAGACTTTACAGACCTGAAACTTGCCTATAGCACTTATTCATTGTTGCTTTTATAGTTGTGTAAATTGCTTCCTTGTCCTCATTTGTTGTCGCTTTAGATAAAAGCGTCTGCTAAATGTAAATGTATATTGATGTATAAAATTATCATTTCTTTATCCTTTAATTGTTTTCATTTGTAAAGATATTTGTGTGTTGCTGTTCATCCTGTGTGTATTCAGCAGTGTGTAAGCGTTAGAAACTGCATAGGCTCATAACTAACACGCGCTGCTTGACTTTAGAGCAGCTTTTAGTTGGTCAGTGGCGCGGTCCGTTTCAGCTACTCAGAATAGCAGCGCTCCAACAATGCACCTTAACACACCTCCATTATAGAGCAGCACACACAGAGTCCACAGAGTGGTGAAAATGAATTTACTATTTAAACAATGTGGAGCGAAACTTGAAAATTACTGTTGCTCTGGTCTGAAAATAGCAACAAATCGCACCAAACATGTCTTGCAGCTATTTTATGACTCTTGTGAACACATACACCATCTATCTGTGCTTTAGATCTGCGGATTTCCGACTGTTCTCACATAGACTGATTAGCATGATTATGCATTCGCAATAGTATGAACCATTATATGGGTGGTCAAATGTATATATTTATATTATCTATTATTTTAATTATTGTATAGTGCAATATATTACTCACTATTAAAGGATTGACTCCCCCATTAAATATTAATGGCATTGTTATAAAATGATTTAAATTCACTTTAAATGTGAATTTTTATTGACAAATTAAAAAAACAAAAATATAAATATTTATATATTTATGACACAGTTATAATTATCTCAAGACAATTATGTTTATGACAGGTTTATGACCAGTTATGTTGTAATGGTAATGTCAAGAGGTATTATAATGTATTTGTTTGTCAAGTGGTCATAAAGACATCTCAGGCAATGTCAACTCTGCATTTAAAATGACACAACTGAGTGAATAACAGTGTCATAAGCATGCATAAAATCTAATTCATATTCCAGAGATGACATGTCATGTTAAAAAGGGTGTCATTGCAGTCTTAAGAACACCTCATTCAAGGAAAGTGTTACCATTTATTCCAATATTTGTGAATCAGTGCAGTATGGTAACTATAATTCTAGTCCTGTCTTGATAAACAACAACATGCAATAAACAAATGACTGAATGAAATCTTCTCATTGCATCTGTCCATATTAACACTCTTCACCTTTCTCTTTCAGGCGTATACTGTACAAAACCAATATGGCATTCCACACTCAGAGGTAAGAAAACCACACACATGCTGCATAGCTTTCATTAGCTGAGTGTCCTTTTGTCAAGTAAATGAGCCTGTATTCACATGTGAATGAACTTCATGGTTCAATTCAATTATGTCTCCTGATAAGAGTAATAAAATCCTTTCATATGAACGAAGTGACATTTTCTTCCTCTTTTATCTCAGTTGGCTAAGTTGCACCAGTTGTCCATGCAGCAGGGTCTCGGCCCCATCGCTCAGGCCACGGCCACTCAAGTTCTGCCTGGTAAGTTTAGCAAATTTGAGGAAAATAATGGTCAGGTGTTTGAAAAAGAGTTGTTTCCGGACAGTCTCAAACATTTCAACTCCAACCTTTATTAATTAATTAAAGGGAGACTTTACTTTTTGGGAGGAATAGACTCATTTTACGACTCCCCTTGAGCAGGGAGTCCTGCTTTTGTGTCCAATTTTATTTGTCTGTCCCATGGGGTGTCCATTCATGGAGGGTGAGCTTCAGAGTTTAGCTTCAACCACTTTCAAAACACCTACCTAGATGTTTCCAGTCAGCCTGAACACCTTGATTAGCTTCTTCGGGTAAGTTTAAAGGAATACTTCCATTTTTAGAAATGGGCTCACTTTACAGCTCCCCCTGAGTTAAACAGTTGAGCTTTACAAGTATTTGAATCCATTCTGCTGATCTCCAGGTCTGGCAGAAGCACTTTTAGCTTAGCTTAGCATAATCATTGAATTGGATTGGACCATTAGCATTAGCAAGATTCAATCATTTCTTATTTAAAGAGTGGTAACAGTACTGCGTAATATCACTGTGCCTGCTGTAGCCATGGTATGACAGCAAAACCCCTTGATCTATATGCCAGAATGACATTTTGAGTCCTTGGAATATTACCCTAAAACTTAGTAAGTTAAGGCAACTCAAACCATTTGAGAAAAAAACGATTGCAAGAAACCATTTAAGTTCAAAACTAATTCTAATGGGTACCATGAACTTAATTCATTTGAGTAAACGAAGCAATCTTAGCACAGTAAAATCCATTAAATGAAGAGAACTTAAACCAACTGAGTACTGTAAAACCCAATAAGTTGAGGCAACTCAAACCGTTTGAAGAAACTGATTGCTACCAACCATTTGATTTAAAAAAACAAATCAATATGAGTACTGTGAACTTAATCCATTTAAGTTGAAGTAACGAGGTATTTAATGAACTCATTACCTTCAACACTGAGTTCAAAACTCTTTTCAAATGAGTAGAGTTAACTTTCAGTCAATTTTGAGTTAACTACACTGATTTCATTTGATTAAGTTGACTGTTGGGTTTTACAGTGCAGTGGTGCTCAACCCTGTTCCTGGAAATCAACCTTCCTGCAAAGTTCAGCTTCAACCTTGATCAAACACACCTGAACCACTTAATTAGGACCTGAGCAGCACTTGAAAATTACATGCAGGTGTGTTTGATATGGGTTGCAACTGAGATCTGCAAGTAGGTCGATATCCAGGAACAGGGTTGGTCACGCCTGGTGTAGAAGATAGCAACTTTTCTTTGTCTGTCCGTCTTCCTACATGATGTAACTACAGAAGAGTCACGCTTAAAATAGGAAGGTCATCACAACTCATTTTGAATTGTTCGAATTAGATGCGAATGTTCTAATCTAATTCAATGATGTATGCAAAGCTAAGCTAAAAGTGCTTCCACCAAACTCGGAGATCAGCTGAATAGATTCAGAATGGATACAACTCAACTGTTAGGGGAGCTGTAAAGTGAGAACATTTCCAAAAAATAAAAAATGGAGTATTCCTTTAAACTTACCTGAACCAGCTAATCAATGTGTTCAGACTGACTGGAAACATCTAGTGTTTTGAAAGTGGTTGAAGCTAAACTGAAGTTCACCATCCATGAATGGACACCCAGTGGGTCAGACTATAATAAAATTGGACACAAAAGCAGGACTCCCTATTTTCATGATTCAGATGAATCTGTAATTTGGGGAACAAGTGATTTGACACCGATTCAAGCCCGGGAACAGTGTAAGTGCATAGAAAAGTAGGTAATTTGTCCATCTTACTACACGATGTAACTACAGAAGAGTCAAGCGTAGAATAGAAAAGTTATCACAACTCTTTTTGGAATTTGTCGAATTAGATGCTAATGGTCTAATCTAATTCAATGATGTATGCTAAGCTAAGCTAAAAGCTAAAAGTGCTTCCCCCAAACTCTGAGATAAGCTGAATGATTGTATGGTAAAACTTGATTGTTTAACTCTAGAGACGTTTTAAAGTGAGCCTGTTTCAAAAAAAAAAAAAAAAAAAAAAAGTGGTTCCTTTAAATTTACCTCAACCCTGCTGAAAAATCCAGCTTAAAAATCCAGACATAGCTGGTTTGGGCTGGGCTCCCAGCCTGGCTAGGCTGGTCAAGCTGGTGTTAGCTGGTCATCTCCCAGCCTGACCAGCTAAGACCAGGCTGGAAATGGCTGGAAACCAGCCTGGAAGTGGCCAAAACCCCTCTAAAACCAGCCTGGTCAAACAGCTTAAACCAGCCAACCAACCTAGGCTGGTTTAAGCTGTTTTTTTTAGTAGGGAAGGTAAGTTGTAACCATCAAGGTGTTCAGACTGACTGGAAACATCGAGGTAAGTGTTTTGAAAGTGGTTGAAGCTAAACTCTGAAGCTCACCCTCTATGAATGGACACCCAGGGTCTGTTACACTCTGACATGGGTCAGGCTATAATAAAATTGAACACAGCAGGACTTCCTATTTTCGTGGTTCAGATGAATCTGTAATTTGGTGAAGTGAACTGACACCGATTCAAGGCCAGGAACAGTGTAAATGCATAGAAAAGTAGGTTATTTGTCTGCTCAGTTCAGTTTGTAGAGGAAAACTAAACTTCCAATTGACATAACTCAAGTCCAAAACACCTAATATTTACCCTAAAGCACAAGTACTGTTTTAGGAGGGCTAAATCTCTGCTTGGATGTGACACAATTCCACTTGAGAACTCAAGCTTAAGCACATGAATTGAAACAGACCTCCCAAAGACCCAGAGGCCACCCAGGTTCAAGGTAATACACCTGAGCTCCATAGAGCATACGGCGCATGCAGATTACAGCTGCAAAAACGGGGCCAAGCTGTACAAGGCTCCACAGTCAGCTCCCGAGGCTTCACAGAGCCGTGACAAATGTCCAGCTAAAGCAAAAAGGAGGGACTTCCATTTTTCTAGCTCCCTGTTTTTTTTTTCCGTCTTGCACACAACCAGACATCCAATTATACATGCACCCCGAGATATTCAGCAGTGTACTTTAATATCTCACCAACATTTGCAAAAGATTTGCAGAGTGGGTCTTCTCAAAGCCAAGAGACTGTCAAACATTATGGTAAATAAGCTCTTTTGGTGCAAATGTGAGAATCAAAAAGCCCCTTCGAGGAATTGAGTGGTCGAAACAAATGTAATAGTGGCCCCCCCATTGCTAAAATTACAAGAGCACATCCTATCATGATATGGCTGGGGAATTCGATTATGTCTGAGGTAAAAAGCTCATCAGTCAAGGCAATGTTTCAGTCTATTAAACAGGCCCCTGTTGGGCTGGGAGGCACTGCTGGGTCTGGCCCGCCTGCTGAGACAGGAAGGAAAAACAGGCTAGCTCTGTGCCCGTCATTAGCGGCTAGATGATAGCATCCAGCTAACTGGTAGGAGAACACTTAAATGGATATAGAGTGGAGGAACTATGACGTCACTTTGTAGGCTAATCGGCTGCTAGCATAAAACTGGTTCCCTCGTGATATCCCTATAGGATTTTCCCATAGGCTTTTTGAAGATTGCAAATAATAAGCTCTGTGTTCAAACACTGTTCATTACTCTTACACGTTTTGTCCAGCCAGATAATCCTCACACGAAAATACAACTTTGAACACTTTTGGATCTTAAATGCAAACGCAAGAATTGAAAAGCTAACATTAGGCTACAAACGGACTACAGAGCCCTCGGGGCGCTCGCCTGTGACGTCAGCACCACCCTGCTACAGGCAACTTTTCAAGCTTATTTTTTAGAAATAATAACCATGACAAAGAGCTAATCTCTATGTTTATTACATTATAATCCACGCTATATATTAAAAACAAATAAATACGCAAAAACACATAAACCTATGTGCCTTTTGGATCGTTTTTACGTGGGAAATACATCTGTTTTGCTTTACGGTTGTTCTAAAAGTTTTAAAACTGTGTATAAATGTGCCTACATAGTATTATCATAAGACATATTTAAATGTGTATCGCTCACGTGCACACAGCCTGCTTACCTCAACAGACGACAGAAATGAGGCGTGAGGAGGAACAGGTCCATCAAATGCCTAAGTTCCATCATGGACATAGAGCAACATTCAATATTCCTTTTTTTGTCACGAAATACACTGAAAAGCAGCCCATACAGTCACATATGCTGTACATTTTACGGAGGAGTGTAAATATTGCAGTTATGACAGAGTTAAAAGTGTTCAGATGAAGAAGAAAAACCCGACGAAAAATCACTTGATCACATTAAAATGACAGTTAACATAAATGTATTTTTACACAATTTTTCATACGTTTGTATTACTGAGAGCAGGAAAGAGACAGACTGCACTGCAGTATCTTCATAATATTGTTTAATTAAAATAAATGATCAACAAATGAATCCGTCTTGACAGCCTTTACAAGTGAAGGAATTATCTGCACACAATCTGAATTCCCAATTAGAATAATACTACAAACTATAAAATACTATTCATGAAAATACCTAAATAACAGACAAATCCAAATGCCCAACACAAGCGAGCTGCGCTCCAGGCCAGATCAGCTCGATGACGTATAATGTCTCCGACACCGCCTGTAGTCCCATTTAGCAACTTGATAGCAACAGTCTTTTTATAGAAGCATTACAGATTTAAAAACTCAAGAGTGTGCTGTAACTGATGTGTTTTATGTCGTAGAACAAAACGTGAAAGTATTTTGAGTTTGTGTCAGCCACGAACCTTATTTAAGCGATTTTACTGAAACCCCATTGAAAAAACCCATTGACTTTGGGACGAGGGAAGCGGAACTGCTAAAATGCTAACTCGCTTCCGGGTTTTTGCATACAAATTGACGTCATAGCATTTACTCTATTGTATACTCAGTATGAGAAGGAGAATTTGTAGCATAATGCTAATGATGGTTGTGAATCACAAATAGGCCTGTCGTCGAGCTAAGAGGCTATCGCAGTAGCTTAAATTCCATCCAAAGATACCCGCTTCCAATGTTATCACTCGATTGAATGGGCGCTATCAACTGATAGAATATAGGCCAGTAGTGGCCTTCTGCGCCTACTGGTAGGCTTAGAAGGCTGTTATCATCCATCCACATGGTTAATTAGCTATACTGATAGAAAAACTACAGATCTGTTTTTACCATGCTGTGACGGTTCGGTTTAGGGTTGGAGTAGGGTAGACGTTAATAAAATACAATTAATGGAAAATGTAATAAATAATTTTAATTAAATAATTATACACAGCCGAATGTGATCTACAGCTGAATAACCATAAGATGTGCTTTAACTGCAGACTGTCGGTATTTACATCCAAATCAGGCGAACGCTGTTGGAATTACAACTGTTTGCATATGTGCCTCCCATTTGTTAATGGACCAAAAGTAATTGGACAGAATAATAATCCTCAGTCAAACTATTTTGTAAATCCTTTGCAGTCAATTAGAGCCTGAAGTCTGAAGCACAGAGACGCTGTGGTTTCATTGCTGGTGGTGCTCTGCCAGGCCTCTAATGCAACTGTCGTCAGTTCCTGCTTGTTCTTGGGGCATTTTCCCTTCAGTTTTGTCTTCAGAAAGTGAAATGCATACTCAATCAGATTCAGGTCAGGTGATTGACTTGGCCATTGCATAACATTCCACTTCTTTTCCTTCAAAAAAATTTTGTTTGCTTTTGCAGTATGCTTTGAGTCATTCTCCATCTGCACTGTGAAGCGCCATCCAATGAGTTTTGAAGTATTTGGCTAAATATTAGCAAAGAACATTGCCTGAAACACTTCAGAATTCATCTTGCTGCTTTAGTCAGCAACACATCATCAGTTAATACAAGAGAACCAGTTTCACTGACATGCCCAAGCCATGGCACTACCACTACCATGCATCACTGCTTAGGATCATGAGCAGTTCCTTTCCTTCTCCAAACTCTTCCCATCACTCTGGTACAAGTTGATCCTGGTCTCATCTGTCAAGAGGATGTTGTTACAGCACTGCGAAGGCTTTTTCAGAACTCTAATCTGGCCTTCCTGTGTTTGAGGCTCACCAATGGTTTACATCTTGTGGTGACCCCTCTGTATTCACTCTGGCGTAGTCTTCTCTTGATTGTTGATTCTGACACACATACACCTACCTCCTGGAGAGTGTTCTTGATCTGGCCAACTGTTGTGAAGGGTGTTTTCTTCATCAGTTCTTCAGTCCTCCATCACAGTTGCCTCCATGGTCTTCCGGGTCTTTTGGGGTTTCTGAGCTCACTGGTGTGTTCTTTCTTTTTAAAAGTGTTCCACACAGTTGTTTTGGCCACGCCTGATGTTTTTGCTCTCTCTCTCTCTCTCTCTCTGATGGGTTTGTTCTGTTTCTTCAGCCTAATTATGCCTTGCTTAACAGATAGTGACAGCTCTTTGGATCACATCTTGAGAGTTGACAGTAACATTCAAAATGCCAACAGCACACTTGAGATGAACTCTGGAGCTTTTATCTGCTCACTGTAATTGGGATAATGAGGGAATAACACACACCTGGCCATGGAACAGCTTAGAAGCCAACTGTCCAGTTACTTTTTGGTCCCTTAACAAGTGGGAGGCACATGTGCAGACTGTTGTAATTCCTACCGCGTTCACCTAATGTGGATGTAAATCCCCTCAAATTAAAGCTGACAGTCTGCAGTTAAAGCACATCTTGTCAGTTTAATTTCAAATCGATTGGGTTGGAGTATAGAGGCAAACATGTTAGAATTTTGTCAATGTCCAAATATTTATGGACTTCACTGTATGTGCAGTTTGGCAAAATTTGTTAATGTGATTTCCAATATGCACATAAAAAAGGTGGAGGGAAGCATTACATAATGTAACTTGAGTTGGTTATGAGAGTTTGTTAGTTGCACAGCCATTGGGTTTTGAGGTCAGAGGGTATCACTGAAAAGCACCTTGACCGAGCCGAAAAGCTCAGCTTTATTTATTTTTCCTTTTTAAAGAATGTAATCTGTGCAGAACCAACCTGATTTTCCAAAGTAAAGACCTGGGGCCTCATGTATCAACGCTGCGTACGCACAAAAACTATTGCGTACACCAGGTTTCACGCTCAGAATCGCTCACGTTTGGATTTACTAACGATGAACTGAACGTGGGAATGTGCGCAGCTCCACGGCAGCTTTATGGCTGGCGTACGCACATTTTTTGTGCGTGTCTGTTTTATTTCCATTGGCGACTCCTAGAGGCAGTTGTGTTAAATTCCTCTCTACAAAGTGTCTGATCCTTGCAATGGCAGCTGTATGAGACGGGTTCATCTAGCAGGTATATAAGGTTTGCATACCATACAGTTGACCAGCTAAACATTAAAGCGCAATTTGCAGCGGTCGCCTGTTTTCCCAATGTAATCTGAGCTTTCGGCTGCACGCACATTGCTATAAAGACACTATCTGAAGATGAATTTGCATGCGTGAAACATTTCCATTCAATAAATGTGCAAAAAAAATATGATGCACAAACTTATTAATGATTCCTACTTGTCTTTCTCGTGATAAATAGTTGCCAAAATCTGATATGTAGATATCATAGAAAAAGAAGAAAGAGTTCATCAGACGCTGGATTCGAACCGAGTTCATGCTCGAACGTGTCAAAACATATTGACCTGCGTCTTTCGAGCTGCACCACTGAGACTGTTAAGAGTACTTTAACATTTTACACCTATAAATCACACTATTTCTTTTTTAATTCACTCGGTGCGATGTTCAGACTCGAACTGTTCGAACTGTGTTAACCGCATCAGCTAAACCAACTGTTGTTAATTCCGGAGAACAAACTTGCAAATAACACCGCTTTTCTCCGGTCTACCTCCGAAAGCAGCACCTTCAATTCACATTCTGCTCAAAGTTTCTCTTTTTGCTTGCTTTTGCCATTGCTTTTTCGTTGGGTTTTTCCATTAGCATAGTCATTAGCATATTCATACGGGGGAGGAGGCAGGGAGGGGTTTTGTGCTCGTGCATGTTGCGCTCAGTTTCACGTTCATTCAGATGTACAAAAGAATATGCGTGGGATTCGGCGTACGCACTGCTTCATACATCTGAATTTTTTTCTGCGTACGCACATTTACAGCTTTGTGCGTACGCAATGTTTTAGTATGATATCCATGCAAGTGTTCGTACATGAGGCCCCTGGCTTTTATGTCAATCAGCTAAATAGGTAGTTGGTTAAATCAAACATGTTACAATTCTATTTGATGCCACTGGTTTGATGCAACGATGCTAAGGCAAAGTGTACCAGAGTCAAATCAGTCTAAATTATTTCACTGTTCTTCCTTCGCATGTGAGGAAGAAAATGCACTGTGCTGATGGGAGACAATAGCATATCCTAAGATTACTTTCCACCACATAAGGTCAAAAGAGCTTCGGTCAAATGTAGAACTCACTCACTGGAAAAAATAAAGGAAAATATAGAAGCAAACAAACTAGTGTACTGTTCAGCGAATTCTCCTATGGTTTGTTAACTTGGCACTCTTTTCTTTTCCAGCAGGCATCGAGTCCAGCTCCCAGACAGCATCACAAGAACTTCTCATTCCAAATGACGTAAGTGCTAAAACTTTTCTTTGCAAGTATCCTATTACTCATGATCCTAACCGATATTCTACATCAAGATTTGATTACGCCTCAGAAGATGTCGTATGGCTGTTTTAGAGTGTAGGAAAACCTGTTCGTAACTCGTTAACACATTTTTTAATTGCTCAGAGTGGTGTCAGGAACACAGTTTAACAAAAGAATAGGCCAGTTTATGTTCCATAGAGCACTGATTCCCAACCCTGTTCCTGAAGGCACACTAACAGTACATATTTTGGATGTCTCCCATATCTGACCCATCTGACTTCAGGTTTTGAAATCTCTTCTTATGTTCTGATGAGTTGATTCAGATGTGTTTGATTAGAGAGAGGTTGAAAATGTGTACTGATGTTGTGCCTAGAGGAAGAGGGTTGGGGAACCCTGCCTTAAAGAGTTAAAGAGGTAATTCCCCCAAAAGAAAAATCTTTCGGAGACCTTTGTTAGTCTTTGTATCACAAATTAAAGGGCACATAGTTTACCCCTTTTTTATGATTTAATATTAATATTATGGTTCTTCTGAGTGTGCCAGTATAGGTTCATTTCAACTCACAGTTCAGATGTTTTTATTATAATGTGTTTAACAGTGTCATGTTGGGGGTGTTTACACAGTTTGCTGTTTAGGGGCGTATTGCTTCACAGTTTCGGCTTCCCGCCCTACGTAACAAGGGGGCGGAGCCAAGAGCTCCCACGCTCTGTGTTTGCAACAGACAAGCTGACAGTCAGAGGGAGAAGCTAAGCTATGCTAGGATGAGCATTCAGCCGTACAAGTACGAGTCGGACACAGAGCAAGCAGAGAGTACAAAATCATGTGTCTTTGTATAGTCTCGGTGTAAAAGTGCCGAGCTTGTACACCGAGACTAATAACCACACACACTGAATGAACTTAAGCTCAGCCGAGTGCATGCCGACAGAAACCCACGCAGCGCCGAGCCGCTGACCTGAATCTCGCTGCGTGCAGCCTGACAGAAACCCACGCAGCGCCGAGCCGCTGACCCGAAGCTCGCAAAAGGTACAAGCAATAATTCCGATTACAGCGATAATGTGGAGAATATTGATCTTGTGTTGAGCCCAATAAGCTTTTCATCCAAAAATAGAGCGCGGGTGTTCCTTTAGTGATATCGCTTTGACTCACACGCGGAAAATGGCGGACGTGCTAAAAGAAACTGAGGATATGATCGTGACGCAAGGCTGTCAATCTATATTGGTGGGTGGGGGGACTGCTCTCCTATGTAAAGTTGCGGTCGGTCTGAAAACCGCTCCAACTGGTCCAACGTTTTTTTGTTGTTAAATTGAAAAAAAGTAGTGTGTGTGTTTATATCACCCCAATATGACGGTCTCTACACTATGTATACACACATGTCTGTCCAAACAGCTTGAAAATTAGATTTTTGACCATAGGTGCCCTTTAAGATATTTTAGGTGGAATCAGAGAGCTCTCATCTTCCATAGACTACAATAGTCAGAGGACTCTCAAAGTAAAAGGAACTAATAACATCAAAAATCAGCCCAAGGCAAGAGACATGGAGACATGGGGGAGATTGATTGACAATGGTCTACAGCCAATCAGGACACAGAACACAATATGCTGTAAAAAAAAACATAGCATGTTAAATTGCATTAAAAAAAAATCTGCAAAACTGATGGCCGTGAAAGGTGCACCATGTTATAGCAATGGACCGATGTGCTTCCTTTGCGGTTCTTACTGTATTTTGCCCTTTCCCTCATTCATAATAATGCATATAAACCATCTTTGTTTATCTATAGTCTTTGATTACAGTCAACAGCACAACGTAGGGGCGAGCGAGCTTTCGGATTTCATCTAAAATACTTCATTTGTGTTCTGAAGATAAACGAAAGCCTCTGGGATTTGAGTGACATGAGTAATTAATAACATCAGTTTTATGTTTGGTGTGCACGAAACCGCTAAGTTGAGAGCACCACTCACGCTCCTCTTCGGCCATGCAGAAATCCTGCTTTATTCCAAAGGAATCGACTTCAGTCTTTTTCATCTGTCCACCCCCTGCTCTGCCAGAAGAGCTTCACAAGATCCAGTTCAATCCTGTCATGGCGTCTGACATGCTTAGCACTCCTCTGCTGTCAAAACAGAGCGGGGTAAATAAAGCCAGAGCCTTTTGTCGGAGCTCTAGGTTGTGGTGCAGACCGTCCACCCAAGAGGCCTACAGGACGTTCCCTTCATGCCTGCTGACCGGGGCTCCCTCTCGCCTCCATGTCTCCCTGAGATCACAGGATTAATCGGCCAGCTGTGGATTCTGACCATACTTAATACATAATTTCAGCTCCCATGCTTTTGTTATTTTAGGGCCTCATGTCAATCATGCTGTCATAATCCACGTTTGCCTGGAGTTTTAAAGCCAAGGCTGTTCATGTAAGAAGTTTCTCGTAAACTTTTCTCATTATTTTTTACTGTGCAGCAGTGAGTCCTGAGACCTGTATTGCTCCATGTTTTGTTTGAATGTTGTTGTACATAAAGTTGAGGGCAAAATTATTAACCCTCATGTGAAATTTGTATTCTTTAACAGAGAAAGGACAATTTCCCAGTAATTCCTTTTATATTATTTATTCTGGGAAAATGTTATTTATTTAATGTTGGCTTGAATAAAACCAGTTTTTTTTTTAAAAATTAAAAAATCAATATTATTAGCACCCTTAAGTAAACATTCACCGGCCATTTTATTAGGTACACCTGTCCAACTGATTGTTAACACATCTGCTGCAGTTCAAAGCGAGCATCAGAATGGGCAAGAAAGGGGATTTAAGTGACTTTGAATGTGGAATGGTTGCCAGACGGGCTGCTCTGTGTATTTCAGAAACTGCTGAAATCTACTGGGATTTATCTCTAGGGTTTACAGAGAATGGTCCGACAAAGAGAAAATATCCAGTGAGCGGCAGTTCTGTGCAAATGACTTGTTGGTGCCAGAGGTCAGAGGAGAATGGCCAGACTGGTTCCAGCTGATAGAAAGGCAACAGTAACTCAAATAAGCACGCGTTATAACTGAGGTCTGCAGAAGAGCATCTCTGAACACACAACACATCCAACCTTGAGGGGGATGGGCTACAGCAGCAGAAGACCACACTGGGTGCCACTCCTGTCAGCTAAGAACAGGAAACTGAGCCTACACATCACACAGGCTCACCAAAACTGGACAATAGAAGATTGGAGAAACGTTGCCTGGTCTGATGAGTCTCCATTTCTGCTGCCACATTTGGATGGTCGGGTCAGAATTTGGCATCAACAACATGAAAACATGGATCCATCCTGCCTTTTATCAGCGGTACAGGCTGCTGGTGGTGTAATAGTGTGGGGGAGGCTATTTAAAGGGTTAAGCCAGTTCTGAAGGCAAAAATAGGTCCCCAGTACTAGTAAGGTGTACCTAATAAAGTGGCCAGTGAGTGTATAATAGTCAACATTTGAATGGAATCAAAAAAAGTTTTTTCAAAACAGTCCCAAGACAAGAATGAGCATGATTTAGTAGTTTTAGGGCAACTTTCATGAAAGGTTTTGATCCTGGTCAAATGTTGACTGCTGTAATTTTTTGAACAAGCCATTGTTGTGTTTTGTGTCCAATGACTTCCATAATGACCCTACAGTAACTTGCCTTGTTAACCTAGATACACCTTTAAATTGCCCTTAAACTGCATACTTGTCTCTAGCAAAAAGAATGAAAATGTGACTAGATCTACTCATTTGATATCCAACTGGACGAATTTATAGTGGGGAAAATAAATTTTGAACACATCACCATTTTTCTCAGAAAACATATTTCTGAAGGTGCTGTTGACTTGAAATTTTCACCAGAGGCTGGTGACAACAAAACAAATCCATATATGCAGAAAACAATATTAATTAGTTTACAAATGAAGTTATGTGTACTTAAATGGATTGACGCAGGGGAAAAGTGTTGAACACATGAAGAAAGGGAGGTGTAGTTGTGCAATGAAAGCCCAGGCAGCAGTTGAAATCTCTTAGTAGTTCTTTATCAACCCTCTGCCCTTCCTCAGTGTAAATGAATATCAGCTGCTTCAGTATAACATCAATATTAGCAGGAGGATGAAGATGAAACCAGGGTGGACATTTCAACAAGACTCTAAAGCTTGGTTTATACTCGACGCGTCCACTAGTTCGCTTCAGCGTGTGCTGCAAATTTGACGTCATTTCGGTGTTAGTGGAAGTTTGCTTTGGGTGCGTGCGACATAATTTCGGCTAGCGGTGCACACTGCATTTTTTGAGACTCGAGCGAGCAGTGTGCGTGGCGCCGGGTTTGAGTTGAATGTGAATCACTTTAAAGAGATTTTGTCTGAAACAAGTACGCCTGTACAGACATCTTTATAATCTGTGATCATAGAGATTACCAGATGATCAATAATCCTTGGCTAGAAATTGCAACAGCCGTGGAAAATGATGAAAGTTTTTGTTGAAAAGTTTGGATAAACTTGAGGAATAAGTTTGTTTATGCCAAAAGAGGCCATGGCAAAAGTGGAGACCCGGGCACACAATTACAGAAATCTGTAATTTTTCCACCAGTCAAAGGTTTAACACTGATGTATTTGTTGCAATTTTTAATTTAAAACAATTTAATAGTTACAAAATAGAAAAGAAAGGAATATTTAATATCTGTTTACAATATACCGATGGCCTGTTTTTCTAGGCTTTATTGGTGATTATGGTCAGGATTGTTGGAGAATTATTGCCTTTTTAGCATAAGTATAGGACAGAAACTAGCCAGACAGTAATGTGTGAATTGTGGAGCGGGCTAAATCTAAACAAACATCTGTATTTTTTAGTAAGTTTACCTTTTTTGCTTTTATTTTTTGCTTTATTCTTAATATATATTAGAGCAACTCATGTTCTCGTCATTAATATTTTAATCCACTTTAAAAGTTAAAACTGTCAGAGAAATGAACAAAAACAAGTGATGCATCAAAGTTTGATTTAAAAAAAAATCTTGAATGAT